GTCTTTTTTTGAGTTATTTATAGACCACTGAAATTTTCGATTTTATTGAGAATTTTTTTTGAAGTGTCGGTAAAAAAATGTTGGACTTACCCGCTTTTTTACTTTTTTTTTTTAGTTATTATAGTTATTATATTGTTTTTATAAAATTGTATAACATAAACTAATAAATATTAATAAAATTGTTTGATAAAATAGTGTTTTATGTTATTTAATTTCTAATAGACGGTAATTGCCGTATTTTGGGAAACCATGACATATATTTTCTGAAACTTGAATAACTGAGTCAATAATGATTTTTAAATTTTTTGAATTTTGTAGGTTAGTTCGCTACATCTTTTAAAATATTAAAATTAAGAAAAAAAAATTAATGAAAAAGTTTAATTTATGTGGCAGGGGTGTGTTACAGAGTAAAAACATCTGGCAGTGAAAGGGTTAAAAAGAGATTGATACATTTACATGCCATTGAAATAAAAAAAGAATAAAACTTAAAATACTACCTACAGGTAGTACCTGCAGGAAAACGTTAGAAATAATACCATTTATATAATCCTAGTCTTGGCAGAAACAATTAAACACATATTATAGTAAAGAGTGTTTGTAGAATATATAATGATAAAATGTTCTTCAAGCTATGAATGATTTCCTATATACTAAATTTGTTATTTTTAGTGTGTCTTTAGATCTTACTTTAAAAAACAGTAAATCTTTTTAATTGAAACTATATATGTACATATGTATATATATTTATCATATAAATTAAGTACATACACATAATATATATATATATATATATATAGATTATAATAATGTAATCATTAACCATGGTAACTCTTCCAAGTCACTTCTTCTAAAACTTTGTGTAGTACAAAATACATTAGATATACTATTAACTCAAAACTTTATTTATCAGGTTGATCTTTTGAGATTAAGTTAATTTCTGAGATCTAATTTGAAACAAATACAAAAATAAGAGGTTATAGGAAAATAAAAACAATTGTGTTGTTGTTTTCCAACATTTAATTTTCAAATGTTATTTTGTTAAAAATGAAATGTCGATAATTAAATTTGTAAGTCAACTAAATCATAAGCCGTGGCTAACTTTAAAACAAAAAATATACTGAATAATTTGTATTAAAATATAAAGATCAAATAATTTTCATGCATTTTACTGTGTTTTCAGATACATATAATATATCTATATCGCTAGAGATATGTGAAATATAAAAAAAATATCTAATAATTGTATGATATAAATAGTATAAATATTTTATTTTAAATTATCATTTAAAAACATAAGTTAACTCCCTTAATCGTAATTTTCATGAACAACTCGATAAATTTTTGTGACAAATAAAGCATTTCAACATTATCTGTCGTCTCACTTCTTAAAATTTTTAAACACATTAGAAAGATCAACGGGAAATTAAAAATTAAAAAAATATATATATATATATATATAATATATTCTACGGATGGGAAAATTCTGTTTGGTTTTTATAGTATGTAGATTTTATAATATTCATAGATTTAATTTTATYATTATATATTAAATTTAATTATATTCTAACCTAAATATATAGTTTAACATAAACATCATACCTAACTTGTTTGAATAAATTTAAATAATAACATTATGCACTAGACAGTTATTTGTACAGTTACGATATTTTAATTTGTCTAGTTGTATTTTAGTTTTTTTTTACAACACGATAATACTCTAATATTTTATACAATATTCTAAGTTTTATTTAATCGCATGCCCCAATAATACGGCAGTAAGCAGTGTTGTATATTTGAAGATTTACTTTGAAGGGGTGTATAAATTATTTATTCCAACAGATGTATAGTACACCCACATACAGATAACACATCCAAAACACAATAGTAGGTATTGTGAAATCCATTTGACTCGATAAGTTTTGAGCAACAATATTAATAATTATATATTTGGTTAGTGTTTCGAACTCGTTTGTTAGTCGTCACATGTGAGTCGTAATTTTATTTAAATGTAAAAAAATCATCACAATATTTGTATATTATTGAAAATAACATATTCTAGTGTATTAGAACAATATGTACAATTTTAAATAAACCCTATAATAATGATATCATACAAGTAATATTATATGCACTTATGATGTTTTTAAACGATTTATATATATATATATATATATATAAAATCAAAGTTATCATAATGGACAATAATATTATGTTAAACGGGTTACCCATTAAAAACACCGATTACGTGTGTTTAATATAATATTAATATGTGTTATTATAATATCTATTTATAATGTGTAATAGTAATAAAAATGTGATTAAGTATTCATTTAATTTGATCTATTAATATTGCATTGGTTTTGATTTTGTTCAGTAAAAATAAATAATAATAATAATAATATCGTAAGGATATAAACAATGTTATATTATTATATTATTATAAAAGTTTAATGTAGTAACTTTTTAAAAAGTGAATAAAATATTTATTTTGAATAGGCTGATGTAGTTGTTCGTTTGGTATCAGCCAACGACATAAAAATTGAATACATTTTAAATATGTAACAAAACCCCATGTTTATGAATCTTGTTTTTATTATTAACTTAAGAAATTTATTTCAACTATAAAGTATTACGTCGATCACACAAAGACTGRCAATTACCGAGAACGAATATATACTTTCATTTGAAAGGCGATATCAGTAAAACCACCCCTTGTTGTACTACAAAGATACATTGCATGACTTTTATCAGTTTTATATTATATGGCATTCCAAAAGACCGTATAGGTATTTCGTACTGGGATCTTAACTACACAATGTTCATACCCAATGGAACCATTCAAAGTTACTAGTTGAAATTTCTTTTTCTTATATTTACAATGCTGTTGGACCAAAACTACAAGAGACACGAATTGTCTATGAATAAGCTTATGTGCTTTTCGTTTTCTGCAGTTATTGACATTTCGACCGAATTATAAATTATCATTCTAAATCAATCGCCACCACATCAATATTGATAAACACGTATCGTGCTATTTTATATTATTTAGTACCTACCTAGTTTAAATCTAAGGATGAAAACTCGCCCCACAATCATTACGGAATTATAGCTAAGTATTATAAAACCTATTTCTCAAACTCTTTAAATTATTGACCATCTATCTATATATAATAAATCTATGTTAAATAACTCAAGTTTTATGATTTTATATTAATTATTATAATGTATCATTGTACTAGATTAAGTAAGTCCATGGTTTAAAGTGACTTTTGTTCATTATTGCAATAATTAAGATCGTACAAATAATTTAAAATGTGTTCTTTTTAAATTACTCGTATTTGTTGTGTTATTAATTTCACTTTCCTTAAAACTGAGTTCAAGATATTATTTTTCTCGTATATAAAATGTTATACTAGTTAAATTGTTTGGTCAAAATGGTTTATTCGGTTAACCTTTTTGGTAAATTATAACTGAAATTATTTTAAACGCTATGTAAATAGCGCTTATATCTAGTTTATGATAATATAATAATAATAATCTTATGTACTTACCTTTTAAGTTTTAGTAGTTATGTAGCGTCTAAATATTTCATCTAAGCTGGATGACAGTTGAAAATGTTGAATGTTGAAAATTCGTCAAATATTTCATGTGCATTATCTATGTTTCATGTACCTTATATAGACTTTACTGCAGGATGTGAATTAGGTAATTTAGCAAAACACTTAATATATTTATTTTATTCATAAAACAATACTAAATTTACATGTAAAACATGTTTCAAAACATAATGGAAGAGCATGCATTAAGATTCCAAACCTAACAAAGGTAATTTAACACGCTACTCGGTATAGTTATTGCTTGAATGTATACATTTTAGCGTTACTAGTAACCTCTAATAAATTTGATATCATTTAGCATTTCAACGATTTAGACAATAAAACATCTAGTTTATTATCTCAATAAATTGCACAAATTAAACAAAATTATATTTTACAGTCAAGAATTTTGCACCTCGAGAGGGAATTCGTAGCTCATGAAATTATTATCGGTGGTATTATCGAAACTACAAAAAAAATATAATGTAAACTATTACACGTCTTGTAAATATTATCAAAAACTATCATAATTATCACAACTTAAAAGATTGGTTGTTAAATTTGTTACAGCATACAGTCTCAACTTTCAAAAACCTAGAAAAGAGAAGGAAAACTTTTGAAAAGGTACTAAAGACTTAGAGTTTTTGGCATGTGTACCCGATGCTTGATCATAAAAAAAATATGCAAAAAACTAGTAAATGACTTTAAAAAAAATTATGGCAATTATGCGTGGTCCTCAGAGCGGTGAAACATTTTCTTTTACGTAAAGACGTTAAGTTTAAGATGAAGGTTTGAAAAAACTACGAAAATTCCTTAAAAATTGTATAACATTTAGTCAGTTGTAATGTTCCAAGAACAACAAAATATTATTCTTGTGTAATAATAAATTTATAAATTATAAATGATCTGACTTCAAAATAGTTAGGCATAGAAATGAGCAGTAATTTAAAATGGACAGATAACATTCATTTATTACTAAAAAAAAGCAAATTGTCTCCTGTCTTAAGAAAACTGAGATTTATTTTGTGTAATATGAAATAAAATTTAAATATAGTATATAATATGCATTGGTGGAGTCGTCCTCATTTGCGTAATGAACGAAGCAAGCAAAACAAATCGCAAACATTTTAAAATCGTCAAAAATATTGTTTCGAGATGAATCTTAAATAAAATCTGTGATTGCCATGTTGCCATGTCAAACATCCTATGTGAAAAAAAAAATGATTGTGTTAATCAATATAAAACACTTTTCTAAACATGTTCAGCGGTYGCTTTTATTTTTTATATTAAAGAATAACTAAAACCAATACAACACAATTACAACATCAGTATRATATATATACCAGAAATATAACCATTATACCAATAACGTGCATAAATCCTTCACGCATACTTATTTTTCATACATGGTTTAAGTATTTTGAAAAGAATTTAAAAAAATATCGTAATTTTGATTACAATATATTTTAAATTAAATTAACTACWWGRCTTATACATACAACAAACTGCAGAATATTTTACTCCTATATTGCTCTAATTTGATAATTTATTACATTTAAACTCACCCCTTATTTATGTTCATATGTAATATTATGTATTTTTTAGCGGATAATTTCGTGTTTACCTGCTGTACTGGTAATTTTTAATGTATTTATGTTAATGTGTTTGTTAAATATACTAGATAAGACTTCTTGAGCTTGAACATTATCTTTCTATAGTAGGTATGGCATGTCGGTATTGACTTATAAGTTATTATAAGAAGGTAAGATATAACAATAATKATCACATATTATATACGATTTATTTTTTAGTAAAAATAATTTAAAATAAGAAATAATATAAAAATAATTGAAAACTATACCATGTTTGTAGCTGGCACCTATGCACTAATAAAATATTAATAATAATATCAATAAAATATATTATAAAATAAGCATATATGCTATCTGATCGTCTCCACACAGAATCGTGTTTTGTATGCAATGATTTATTATTGAATTAAAATATTTGTCTGACAACACAATAATAAAGTACCGAGCTCAATGGAGAAGTACCCTCAATACCATTAATATAAATAAGTTTAACTTAAATTTTTTTTTTGTAATKTTAATATAATTATTATTTATTTATATACTATTATCTATTACTATCATCTATTTGGTACTTTATTTATTTATATCTAGGTGATAGGTATAGTAAATTAAATGTGTGCAATGCTATGAGGTTTGAAAAATTCTTGTGATGAAAAAACATAAATTTTAATTTCAATGTAGGTACTTAAGATCATATTCTGACTGATTTTATCTGCTCAWATTCGTTTTTTATACGCAATGATTTATCATTGAGTTAAAATATTTAGCAAATAACACATAAATATCCTATACAGTGACCTAATCAATAACGAAATATACTCGACGCCACTTAAAATTATGAAGGTTACAGGTTTTTTTAAGTTTATATTTGAGTTTAATCTATTATTAGGTAATTGGCTTATACTTTATTTACTGATTATGAGATTTGACGAATTCATGTGGTAATTGGAAAAATAATATATATGATGAAAATAAGTACTTAATAAATATTATAAATYTGTCCATTATCTTACCATTTGATAGTGAGACCGTTCATCTGTTTGGAATTGGATAGTGTCTGTATGGTACTAAAAAACACTGGTATAATCGARAGGGGAGGGGAACTTGAGTTAGTGTAGTAATGAACCATGAGATTATTTTAACTTATCTTAATCCTATGCTTCGATACTTACTTATTTTTCTTTAACATTATTTTTTTTTTTTTGCTTTAACAAATCAGTAAGTTAATCAAAATGTTAAGATTATATTTTTAAGTTATGTTCAAATGGTTGTACTCTTTATGAATYATATGTACATTATAGTTAGAATGTTTAATTTAAATTGAAATCGCTCAAGTTCTGATTCAAAACCATCATTAAATCCTAAACCTCTCCCTCCCTTTACCTTCTTTTTTTCTATCTGATGAATTTTASTTAAATGGGGTCACTCTAACATAAAGTTTATGGAACTCTCTATAATATATTCAGGGAAATAATTTTCTTGGTTTTCCATACTATTTTTGGTGAAAATATGGAACATCTTCTAAATACTGCGAAAATAATGTTTAATGATCTAATTAACTTGTTTAATAATTATGACGGTTAAA